CTTCCATTTTTTCTCCCTTTTACAATGTATGTGTGTGGCAAAGTGGGAAGGATTCAGACCAGGTGATCTCAGTTGGGTGTCCTACAACTTTGGCAGTCTTTTTTTTTTTTCCCCCCTTTTACTCCTCATCCGGAGGAACTTTTCTGAGTGGTTCATTGCCCTTGGATGTGTTTTAGTTTGGATTTTCCAACTGTATTCCATCTACACCTAGCCCAACTCTTTTCCATTTTCTCTCCATGAACACTGAAAGGTTGCCGAGTTATGAAAGTGAAGTCATGGGCTGGGAGTTCCTGACTTACAAAGTGACTCATAGTAGTTATAGCTGTCCCATACACATCAGGAAAAAGTTTGCTACTGAGTTTTCGCATATGTCAAAGCCTTTTCTCAACTCATATTAACGCGATGCCTGCCTTGAGATCCTACCTTTCTTCTTTTACCTTTTCCATCATTTGGCTGTGCTCCCCATGTAATCTAGTATAGTCCTTTGCTCTAGCTTCTATAACATATTATGTACTAGTACAACCTGTTTTATCATTATTTGTCTTAGACTGAACTTGTCAAGCCATGGCAGTGTCTAATTCATCTGTATGGCATTAGTACAGAGTAGACTCAGCAAATGTTGGCATGGATGGAACTGTCCCTTTCTGGTTGATGTCAACCATAAAAACAGGAAAGTCAGTGGAAAGATTGTAAAAATGCAAGATTTCAGTAACTTGGTGTTTTGAGCAAAACTGTCCCTTGGGCTGTGCAACTTACTTCTTCCCCCATACCAGGTTTGTGAATCTTATCTCTGAAAGGAGGACAAAGTTTACCAAGCTCTCACTCAAGTTCCTGGCTCAGGAGGTACGTAAGATAAAATGGCCTTGCTTGATTCTCTCCAGGAAAGCTTCTTAAATGGGGAATGGGGTAAGTTGTGCACACAGTCAGAGTAGCTCATCCCGTCACTGCTAGCCAAGACCTGCAAGAACCCCAGAGCTTCTGCTTTCAACTTAAACAAAGCAGGTTTGTTCTCTTACTCTTCATGACTTGTATCTCAGAAGACTTGGTGAGCCTAACTTGCTGGGAATGGCCCAGTGAAGCTGAAGAGCCCAAATGTACCACCCTTTGGGGACAGGAAAGAGGTAGCAGTCATATTGCCTACTCTTTGGGAGCTGATAGTCAGAGGGAGCAGATAGCTCAGCTAAGGAGCGTGAAGATGCCAGGGGCTCCTGTCCTGAATGAGTGAGGTTCAGACGGCAGGTTCAGGTTTGTTCTCAGTCATGTAGAGACGTTTACTGGAGGAGGTAGGGGAGGAAAAGAAGGGTAAGGGGACCCAGGAAGAGAGAAGGGGCAGAAAGAGGCTGAAGAAGAGAGTGCTAATGCTAATTCACTCTCCTACTGGTGAGTGGTTGGTGGTTGGGGAAGGTGAGTACCTTTCCTGACTTTTAAGACTACCTCTACTAAAGACTAAAAAATAAACAGGAGGTTGGGTTTTTATCTGTGCCCTGTCAGTAAGGCTGGACTCTTCTCTCAGGACTTCAGTTTCTCTATCTGTAAAATAGAGGGAATGGTCAGGATAATTTGTTTCTGGGTCTCTTCCAGCTTTAATATTTGCTAATTTCTATATCCATCTCCCCCCATCAGGTGAACATTCCAGATTGGATTGTTGAACTTCGTCATGAGTTGACACACAAGAAAATGCCCCATATAAATGACTGTCGCAGAGGTAAGTCCCCTAGGATTGTACCTGTTACAGGTAAGGCCTGGCTGCATGACATTTGGGATAGTTGGGTAGGAAGGAGCTTATTCAGGGCAGGCACTACAGTGAAGCAAGTGAGAGACTTACCTTGGGTGCAAAACTTAAGGGGGTAGCACAAGTTCAGTGATCATGATTAATAGCATTTTAATGTGGATAAAGCTATGATGAACCAAAAAAAAAAAGAAAAAGCAAAGGATGAACATTACTGAATTTTTTTGTTTCAGGCTCACATATGACTTGCTAGGGAACTATTCTGATCCTGCTTTGATACCTTGATTACAGTTTTTTGGCCTCCTCTTAAATTTTGCTCCTGAGGTGGTTTCTCATTAGCCACATCCTAGCAGGGGCAGGAGGAGTAAGTTGAGAGATATGAACTGTTAAAACTTTCATAACCCAGGAGTTGTTTAGACTTCCATCTCAGTTAAGAACCCCTAATTTAACCTTAGCTTTGTAATAGGGAAACTGAGGACTTAAAAAGGAAAGAGAATTGGCCAAGGCCGTGTAACAAACTAGTGGGGCTGGGTCTCACTTCTCCCACTTGGTATATTTTTGGCATCTTATCTAAGTCCTGTGCAGAGTTTTTCTAGGAAAGGTTCTGGTAAATATGAGAAAGCAAAACATGGGGATAACACAGAGTGAGAGTGACTGTGTCTGTATGTGAGATTTGAGCCTTGGAGCCAAACCTCTTCCTTAGGGTTCTTTCCATGATGCTCTCAAGATGAGGCGGTCCAGAGAGCTGAGGACCTGTTAGCTGTTTGCCTGTGGGGGTTCCTGTGGCACTGCTTTCCTTCCTTACCCTTTTTAGGCTGCTACTTTGTCCTGGATTGGCTCCAGAAGACCTACTGGTGCCACCAACTGGAGAACAGCCTGAGAGACAGTTGGGAGTTGGAAGAGGAGAAGGCAGACATAGAAGAAGACCAAGAGGAAGATAAGAACATTGGGGTTGATGACATCACAGAACAGAGACCAGAGCCTCAGGAGCATGGGCAAGATACAGAATTGGATGTCAAAGCTGATGGAGACAATAAAGGCAATGAAGAGGTAGATTCTCAATGGGAAAAGGCTCAGCGACATAAGGAGTTGTATGGTAGGTATCTATGGTGGCAAAGAGGGAACCATACATGTGGAATGCTCCGCCTTAGGGTTAGTGTTGGTTATTTCCCTGGCTCAGCATCTCCTCTGCGACTGTGGTGTTTTTTGGCTTGTAAACCATCTTGACTAGTTTCCATGGTATTGTGGTTATGACATTTGCCTCACAAACCGTCTTGCTTGGTCTCTGTGAAGTACATGGGGAAAGAATTTTAGTTTTCAACTTAGGACCCCTCAGATTAAAAAGTGAGGGGATCTCAGAATCCCAGGAGATGTCATGAGCTGGGTTGGCCATCCTCTCTGTCTCCCTGTTCTGTTTTTAGAAAGAGCCCGAGAATTGCTAGTATCATATGAAGAGGAGCAATTTAAGGTAAGTACCCTAGACCTGACATGTTCTCACTTGCCCCAGCCATTTCTTCTCTTGCCAGCTTCCTGAGAGAAGTTTTGAGAAGGAATTCGAAAGGAAAGTGATAAAGCATGAGGGAACTTCTCAGAAAGATGGGGGATACTAGGAAGGAGACCAGAGGAGCAGAGTCCAAGTGGGTGGTCCTCCACACTGATGGCAGGGAGCGGATGGTGAAGTTTGTGGATAATCTCTCCATGGGTGATAGAGAACAACTGGGAATGGGTAGTTACAGAACCCTTCAGTTCCACATCCAACCAGCAAGTGGGGCGCAGGACCTTCCCTAGATCAGGTGAGCTGGAGTAGTGCAGTTTCAGTAAGGAGGTAGCTTAGAAACTGTTTAGCTTAACTCTCTCCATTCACATACAAAGAAATTGAAGCTGTAGGTGAGTGAGGGCACAGACTCAAGGTCACGTACATAGTCCGTGAAAGAACCAAGGTAAGAACTTAGGTCCTCTGATTCCCTTTCATAAGCCATTGCTTCCCCTTACTCTCACCTTTTGTCCCAAACAGCTCTGTCCATCTCCAACTAAATGTTCTTACTGAACTTCTTAGCATGGATGTGTCTAATAATAGGGAAATCCGGGGAGGGACAGAGGCAGGAGGAGAAGAAGGTCTGTTATTTGAAGGGTTTTCTTGTTTGTTGTATTTTTGGTTGCAGGGCCAACAGGGGAGTTATGGGCCCATCCCTGCATGCAGTGCCCTGTCCCCCAGAGGGCAGTCCTGAAGTTCTGTGGGAAGAGATTCTGGAGGGTTGGGAGTGGGTTGTGTGGCTAAACCAGCCTTCTGATGGGGTGCTTTATACTGGCAGGTGCTGGAGAAATTTAAGCATTTACCGCAGGCCATTAAGATGTGGAATAATCTATCTCCACGTGTAGAAAGCATCTTGACAGAGCTCAAGGGCATTGCTTGGGAGAACAGGTATGTAAGTAGGTAATTGGGGTGCCTTCTGTCTAGGGAGGACGGTAGCAGCCCTATTGAAATAGGTTTCCTTGTCCTAGTTTACCAACCTGTGGTGTAGGAAATCCAGGATAATGCTGGTCCCCTACATGGTGACCCTGTGTTCTGCCTGACCTTCTGTCCCTGCCTCTGCCAGCTATCAGGTGGGAGTTGCTTACTGTGAGTCACTAGAATGGCTTCCGCTAGGAATGGCCATTGTCATCTACCCTAGTCATATATTGTCTGGCCAGGTTTTTTCCTGTCGGGAGTGATGTGACACTCTCGGCAGATAGGAAAAGCTCAGAACTCTTAACACCTTGCTGCCTAGCCATGGACCCAAGTCTGAGGCAGAAGATGTGTGGTAGGCACACTAGTCTGTGCTTTGAAACTGCTGTTGTAGGCTGTGAGCATTCCTTAGGTAGTGAGTTGGGACAGGCATAGTGCCTTCTTAGTGCCTGGCTACTGGAGATCAAGTTCTCTGAGTGTAGGCTGGGATGGACCTAGAGATTTCTCGTTATTCTTAAGCTAAGACTAGTTCCAAAGGTGTTTTCTCGGTCTCCCAGCCAATATTTCTTAACCGTACCCTTTAGCAAAGGGGTGGGTCATGGCGGGACAACCATCCGTATGCACCTAGATTGTAATTCCTGCCTGGTAGTGCTGCGCCAGCACCTGGTAGACTGCATGAAGTATTCTGAGATACTGACATGAGATAACTGTTTTCTCTTCAAACTTGGTCTGCTGCAGGAAGGAACCTGAGTATAGTGTCAACCCTTCAGGCACTGGGATACTTTCAGAACTCTTTCTTCCTGTGGGTGTGATCAGCTAGGAGAGTCTCTTGGGAGGTACTAGCTCTGGAGGGATCAGTTTACTGTTGCTGGCTTAGTTTTGAGTTAGATGGGAATGAGAGATTACCCACATAGTCTACTTCAACCTCTCTAATTTTGTTTTGAGTTCTTTAAGTCCCTAGGAAGAAGGTCTATGAATCATGTTAGGGCAAGAAATTGAGTTCCCAAGATTTCTACTAGGATCTCAAAGAAAGCAGCTATGGAAGCAGGGGACAGTGTAGGGGACTGGGTAATGGTTAGAAGCAAGAGAGACAAAAAGACTGCAGGAACTGAAATCTGAAAGTTCTTGCCCATGACCCTAGGCATTTAACTCTTCTGTGGGCCTCAGACTTTCATTCTGTCTGTGTTTTGAGGCATATTCAGCCACTATGGCCCACATTCGGGGCTTTAGTTCATCACATGCTTGGTAAATGTATGTTAAAAACCCACTGATCCCGTCCTCTGGCTCAGCCCCTGTTCCAGGAGGCTAAAGCCCAAGATCAACTGTCACTTGCCCGACCTTCTGCTAGGCTGCTTTGGCCACTTGAACTAGAGACATTAACTGCTTTGGAGGTGGGTAGGGGAATAGAGAATCTTCTATCAGGTCCAGTTTGCTAAACTAGTGTCTTTATTTTTTGTAGTACTGGTGATCAAGCTAGTACTGATCACTGAGACAAACCTGAGCCCCCTCCTCGAGTCTTTTCAGCTGGAACTAATAGACCAATTCAGTGTATTTGGAGATGGCCTTTTTTTCAGATAAAGTCTTAGTGTGTTGCCCAGGATGGCCCTGAACTCCTAGACTCAAAGCAGTCCTCCTGTCTCATCCGCCTGAATAGCTGGGACTACAGACGTCAATCACCATGCCCAGCTAAACTAGTGTCCTCTTATTATAGGACTGCTGTGCTGGATGCTTTTCTGGATGATGGCTTTCTCATTCCCACATCTGAGCAGTTGGCAGCTTTGCAGATCAAATATGAAGGTAGGGTTTTAGGGGCTCCTTGAAACCTAGGGGTTCTGTGTTTACTGGGTGGGAATACCAGAGGTGGTCTGGGGAGCCCTGGGTCAAGGGTGGAAGCCCTCTAACCCTGCTGGCCGATTAGAACAAGTAGCCTTACTGATACGCAGTTGTGCGGCCATCCTTAGGTGACCTATAATTGGGTGGCGTGGGGTGGGTAGGGTTGGGTAGGGTTGGGGGAGTCTCAATGCCGTTATTGTGCCATTTTAATTGTGATTTAGCCTCTAGCTAGAGAGCTAGAACAACTGCACTGGAAGGGCCTTGTGAGGTCATGTAGTCCAACATCCTCATGTTACAGATGATCATACTGAGGCCCAGAGAGGGGAAGGTACTGATCCAAAGTCACACAGTGAGTTATTGACAAAAGTTGAAGCTAGAACCAGAGCTCTTTTCATTTTATACTTTATTTGAGTCAGTTGTTGGCTGCCCAATACTAACTGGTTTCTCTTTCTCTTCTGTTCTCTTCCTTCCTGTTCTGCGGTGTCGGTTTTATTGTTGGTGGGGCTTGTGCCCCCATCCGTTTTCTCTTTTTCTCCATCCTTCCCTTACCTTCCCTCCGTCACAAAACAGAAAACGTGGATTTGAATGACGTCTTGGTACCAAAGCCGTTCTGTCAGTTCTGGCAGCCCCTGCTTAGGGGCCTGCACTCCCAGACCTTCACGCAGGCCCTGCTGGAGAGGATGTTCTCTGAGCTGCCAGCCTTGGGGGGCAGTGGGATCCGGCCCACCTACACCCTTAGATGGACTGTTGAACTGATCGTGGCCAACACTAAGTCTGGTGAGGGAGACTAGCCCTAGCCCCAGGGCCTAATGCAGCCCAGACTGGACTTTACCGATATTCACAGCTCAAGATTTAGGTTTTGGCGCAAGCCTGTAATCCCAGCACTCCGGAGGCTGAGCCAGGAGGCTGAGGCAGGAGGATGCTGTGAGTTGAAGGCCAGCCTGAACTGCATAGTGAAACCCTGTCCCAAAAAAGATAAAACAGACAAACAAAAGCAAAACAAAACACAGAAAGATTTACTTCTGTCCAGGAGAGCCCGGAGGGCATCGATGTCAAAGCTGCCTTTTTCTTGTTGTCAGAGCCAACTAAAGTAGGGTGGGGCAAAGTGTCCTGCATGCTCTAGGCAGTTGGGAAGTATAGGGTGGTCAGTCAGCTGGAATGGGGCAGGATAGGGCCAAACCTGTCAATGTAAAAAACTGGGTGGGGTCTCCCTGATTTCTTATCCTCAGGGCCTCTTTTCTCTCTTAGGACCGAATGCTCATCGATTTTCTGCAAGCCAGTGGGAAGCAAGAAGAAGCTGGAGGCTATTCAACTGCTCTGCCTCCCTTGACTGGCCCCAGGTGGTTGAGTCCTGCTTGGGCTCACCTTGCTGGGCCAGCCCCCAACTCCTTCAGCTGTAAGTCTTTTAAATTCCATCTGGTAAGAGGGTGAGCCCTGCAAGCTTCAGGGCTACACAGCCTTAGAATGGCTGAGTTGGAAGGACCTTTCAAGAACATCTAGCTCAGTCTCCTACTAACAGATGGGAGAACAGAGGCCAGAGAGGCGAGAGATAGTATATCCTCACCTAAGATCATACGGCTTAACACCTGGCTGAAGTGAATCCAGTGTGAGAATGCTTAGCACAGGGGCCTGCACGAGTAAGTGTGTAATGAACGGTAGCTGCTGTTTATTATTGAACCCAGGTCTAATGACTCAAAGGCCGGTGCTGTCTGTATTATCTTCCCAAAGTATACCTTTGATAGTTGTCCCATGGCCTTCAGCCAGCAGCTCCCTATTGCCTTCCTGGTGAAGTTAAGGCTTCTTAGCCTGACGGTCAAAAGTCTTTCGGATTCTGGCCCTACCTGTCAGGATAACCAGACATCCTGTATCTCGCCTTTCACCCAGTTTGCCCTGGGTTCTATGATCAAACTGAACATTGCACTGGTTCCTATAAATACTTGTTCTCTCCCTTTCCTTTTCTCTATCATTTCCTGACCCCAAGCCACTTCCCTCATTCTCATGAAAGCCTCCAGCGCCTAATTCTCATTCTGCTTTCTGAAGCATTACCTCTTTCAGTTGGGTGACCCACCTGACACTGCAGCTCATCAACTCCAGTGACTTTCGTTTTGTACTACCGTCAGCAATCCATTTCCATCACTCAGCTGTTCCACATTTGAAAGCTGACATCTGAGCATCCCATCTCTAGTCCTTCTAGTTCCCACCCTCGCATCTCATGACACCTGCTCTTTGCCTGTATCCGGACCTCCATCCCTCCATCTCCGCCCTCCCTTGACCTTGATCCTGCTCAGTCCTGTCTGTGGTTGATTACTTTAGCCACTCATCAGCACCGTCAGCTCTGTTCATCCTTTGGCTGTGTCTGACTTGTAAACTCCCAAGCTGGGATTGATCTGCCCCACTCTGATTCCCTCGCTCCTCAGCCCCGGTAGCTGAGCTCTGCTGGAGAAAACCACATAGCCCTGAGGATTGCGACTACTGCAGACGTATGATTTTTAATCTCGGGCTAGGCCTCACTTCTGCTTGTCTGAACTCTTGCTTGTTTTCTGACCACTTTCTCTCTCGTTCCCTGACAACTCGAAACCCTTACCACTCACCTCAAGCCCCTCTTCCTCGCCTATTTCACCCTAGCTTGCTCGAGCACATGGAGGCATCCAACAGGGCTCCCTTAACCTGAGGTCCAGCCCCCGAGAACTGACCTGCAGCTGCAGTCAGCCTTCTCGCCAATCTCAGGATGAGGAGGCATTGCCCCTCCTCAAAGCCTGCTCCTCTTCGTATGCTCTGCCACCCTCCTCCCAGCCACTCCCTTGCTCGGCTGGCTCTTACTCTTCAACTTACGAATGTGTTGTGTTTTTCTCGTCTTAAAACAACAGTAACAACAGCATAACAAAAATCTGCTTTGACCCTACAATTCTGTTAGGTTATTATAAGCTTATTACTCCTTCCCCTGCCATCTCAAAAGAGTAGTCCTTACTCGGCAGTCTCAGTTTTCTCGCTCCCCTCTTACTCCTCAACCTATTGCAATTTGGTGCTCACTCCCAGAGCTACTTTGACCTGATTACCAAATCCAGTGGACCCTTACTACTCGCTGTGCCTGCTGCATTTATGGTGTTTACCACTCCCTCCTAGAAATGCCTGTGCTTATTACTAGTTACTGTAAAGTGCAGAGGCCCAGGTCACTACGTACCCCGGGCTTTTCCTCCACGGTTCAGCTTCCTGTACTCAACTGCATGCCAGACATCTCTACTTGGGATGATTTACAAGCACCTTCCTATAACCATAAGAAAATTGATCATACTTCCCACCCCAACTCCAAAATGGTCTTCCTCTGTCCTATGTCACCTGGTGGCAGCACCATCTACCCTTCCTACTGACTCCAGAGTACTTCTCAAATCTGAGATTTTGTGTTTCCATTCTCCTTCCCCCAGTGTTTACGTTCCCTCTGTCAGACTAAGCTTTTCTCAAGGGCAGTGGCTGTGCATTAGCTCTCTGTGCCTAGCACACCACACGAATCCAGACAGCCTCAGTAAACATCAGTGAACTCAACTGTGCTCTGCGGTCTCGTTGCCAGCAGCCCTGTCCTTGGCGGGAGCTGACTCCGTGCTTGAGGAAGGAGGAGTGAATTGTGGAAATGGGATGCGAAGGCTCTCTTTAGTCCTGACTACCTATTGAATCTGGAAGTCTTTCCTGAGTCCTTATTTCTTTTGAGGCACAATAGGGTTTATAAGATCAAAAATATGGCCTTGTAGGCAAAGTCAGCGAAAGCAAGACCTCCAGGAGAAGGGACTGAGCCAAACAACCACATAACCAGATATGTGTACTCTAGAAGTGACATGGTGGACGTGAGAAACTGGGAGGAGAACCAAAAGGGCCTGGAAGAGTCAGGGAGAATGTTACAGATGAGGCATCCGAAAAATTCATGCAGGAGAAATAACAAAGTTTCAGAGTTCAGAAGGAACATGACGTGTGCACTGGGAAGGGGAAGTAAAAGGAGCAGCATGGAGAGGTTTGGATAGGTGGCTTTCAAGGTACTTTCCAACCCTGAGTGCCTACACAGTGGAAGCTGCTGGTATCGGGCAAGTCTGGACCACAGAGATCTTCTCCCAACCCAGGCATACCAGAGGGATGTGACACATACCAGCAGTAACAGCGGCTCACTTGGGTATGAATCCTTGTGCGCACATCCTGCATTTCCCAGATAATCAGTGAATTTAGTCCTAACCACCTCTTTCCACAGAGAGGGCCATAGAGAGCATGTGCCCAGGTATTACGCTGCAAGTCAGAGCTGAGGCCAGAATCCACAGAGCTTGCCTTCAGTACTCTGTTCTTCCATAGTGTTCCACTAGAGTATACTGTCTCAGAAAGCATTTGCTACTAGATGAAAGCAGAACTTGGTTTCTGTTTTCCTCAGAAAAAATAAAAGATACCACTGGCAATTAAGTGTCAGACATGGTGCTGTGGTTTTTGGGGGGTATAAGTTATTTTACACAGCAATCTTGGGAAGTGGAGGTATGATATCCTTTGGCAGATAAGACATTAAGGCTCTGAGGAATGAAGTGACTTAATGCAAAAGTCACACGGTTTATTGACAACAAGACAGGGGTCAACCCAGGTCCCCTGAGTGCATTGTCTGCCACCTTTTTACCAGCCTGAAACTGTCAACTTCTCAGTCCTGAGCTGTGACCAAGCATACCCAAAGAAGAAAATATATTTTATATTTTTTATATATTTTATTTTTCCATCTTAGTGGCCAGACTAGACAACCAAAGATAGTGGGTGGGCCGGGTGTGGCGGCACACGCCTGTAATTGCAGCACTTGGGAGGCTGAGGCAGGAGGATCGTTGCAAGTTCAAAGCCAGCCTGGGCTACAAAGTGAGCTCAAGGCCAGCCTGAACTGCGTAGTGAGACCCTGTCTCTGAAAGAAACAAAAAAAAAAAAAAAAAAAAAGGCGGGTGGGCAGTAATGAACAGTGGTGATAAGGTAACTTCTAGTATCAGGTCCCTGGGGTTATTTATTATTAATCACACTAATGAACCACGGTGAGAGGGCAGAGAGTTTCTGTCTAGCTTTTCCTCTAATAAAGTTGGACACTTCAAGAGCTTCCCCCAGCCGGCCAATATCCAGTTCAGTTTGAACCAGTGTCCTCTTGGAATATGAAATTACCCCCACAGAGAGGGTTTCCTCATCCCCATTTTGAGTCACTGTCACCCTGCCCTGCCCCAAGATGTGTGGTCATGCACTGAGAGAAAGAAAACAAGCCACTGGGCATATGGTCCTTCTTTGAACAACCATGCATGATTTACAGGGCACTTGCCGTCCTTCACCCCGTCCACACATCCAGCAGTGCCTGGCCTTGCTGGGTGCCAGGTTCTGACATGAGGCTCCAGGCAGCGTGCTCGCCCTCTTCCTCCCCAGCCGCTCTGCATCTGTTGGCTGTTGGTTTTGCTGTTAGCACTGTCTGTTGTGTGCGTGATGTCATCGTCTTTAACTCCCTGCTCAACCCTTGCCGTCCTCACCAAGCCTTGCTGCTTGTCTGTCTGTTCTTCACAGCTTTTCCCTCCCATCTCTACTGCCGGTGCCCTGGGTCAGCCCTCACTGACTCTAGCCTGAAATGTTTAAGCAGGTTCGTCCCGGGTCTCCCTGCCTCCAGGCTGCCCTGCCCCGGCCATCTTCCACGAGGGAATCCTGCGTGTGGTCACTGTGGTGATCAGAAGTGCCCTTCACCTGTGCTCAAAGTTGCCAGGTGACCCAACTCCCAACGCACACACCCAGACTTCCAGCCGTCTTCTTTTCCTGCCGTGGCTCTTCGGCATAGGCCTTGTCCTCTAGCCAGGCTACCGTTACCATGTGCACGGTGTGCCTGCTCTCGTCTCTGGTCCTCCTGGGCCTCACCTCCAGCACAAAGCGCTCCCTCGGTTTCTTCTCACTCCTTGTGCTCTCTGCCTCCCGCAGCCGCCTTAGAGCCCGCAGTGCGTCCACGGTGCCTATTGGGCCTCCCTTCTGCATTCTGCTTTGTCTTGTCAACTACTGCTTTTTTCCTCCCGTCTATTCTAAACTGGTCTGCAGCTACTCCTGTAAAAGGATCATACTGTGTTTTATACCTCAGTACCCCAGCACCCTTCTAGGCACATCCTTGGAGCTCAGGACAGATTGCAAAGTTAGACCAGAGAAGGCAGAGATCCGCCGTTCTCATTTCCAGCCCTGCAGGCCTATTGGATGGTTGGTGTGTTAACTTAGCGTTTCAGTGCAGACTAATTGCTATCGTTTATTGCATGCCCACTGTGTGCCTGCCACTGTGCCAGGCATTCTATATGAGTGTTCTCATGTACCCCAGGAACCCTAGAAATTAGGTACCAGTATCATCCTCATTTTACTGACGGTAGAAGTGAGGAACGGAGATGAACTGCAGAGATCGTTGAGTCCATGGCTGTGTTGTTCCTATGTTTTGTCTGCTCTATTGTACTGCCTTTCAGAGGCAGGTGTAAAAAGCTCAGAGACCAAGTTCAAACGCTAGAGTGTTGGGGTATGAAGTGATTTGAAATTTTCAATCTTTCCTACCCCGTCCCTCCCTTTGCTCAGTGTCTTCAAAGCCATGGGACAGGTCCTGCCAGATGGGGAACAGGAGAAGTTGGTGCGCATCTGTTCCATTTATACTCAGAATGGAGAAAACAACCTGCAGAAGGAGAGCTTAGAGGTGTCTCACATTGAGAAGTGTCCATACACACTGGACAGCCTCTACTGGGGCCTCAAACCAGCTAATTCCAGCTGTGGGTCTGAAGGAAAGGCCCAGCAGCAGGGAGAGCAGGGCAGCCCTAATGATGGTAACGAAGAAGAGGAGAAAAAGGCCGAGCAAGACCAGGCAGAGGGAGAGGAGGAAGAGGAAGATGATGACTTGGAAGAGGAAGATAAAGATGCTGATGAGGATGACGAAGATGATGAGGATGACGATGATGAAGAGGAGGAGGAAGAGGAAGAGGAAGGCAGAATGGAAGTAGGACCTTTCTCTGCTGTGCTTGAGTCCCCTACCATTGAGAATGCCAGGCTCCTGTCCCATAAAAGAGGAGCTTTGGAGGGCTCTGCATGGCAAGTTAGCTCAGGTAAGTGGTCTTGGTATTCACTTTTTCTCTTCATCCATTTCTTGTCTGGGTGGCTGGCTGTTGAGGCTTCCCTTCTCTGTAGAAAGAGATGGAAAGTGGAAGGAAGTATCCAGTATTGAGGTGCGCCTGGGAGGCAGCCAGTTACACGGATGACAGGTGGCTTTCCTTACCCTTTGCATAGAGCATGTAAGTGCACAATTATCAGTAGAGAACACATTCAAAGTTACTCAGAGTACAAGACATAGACAAAAAAGGGTTCTTACAAACAAGGAACTCACAAAACTTTCTTTCAATGAATTCCTTTTTATAAAGTAGGAAAAAGTGAGATGTGCAGTGTACGTATATGATTCTGCATGTGCTTCCTCTGTACACCTGGAGGCTGGCTGTGTTAGAAGGAACCCAGGGCACTGAGTCAGAGGAACTTGGAAGTGAGATCAGAAGAGAACGTAGAGTAGTATGGGTTTTCTGTATTCACACAAGTTCAAAAAATCAAAACCAAGGGAGGGTGCAGGGAATGGTGATGATAGGATTGTACCCACGTTTAGGTCGGGGAGCAGGAACTTCGAGGGAGGCAGACCATAAAGATGGACAGAATAGTCTCATGTAAGTGTGGTAGGCGGTGAGATGGAACCAGAGGGGAGGTCATCAGTGAGCTTATGGGGAGGGATTATTTTGCTGTTGCATGGACAGACGTGGGAGGGCTAAGAGGCATAAAGGCCCCAAGTGGGAGTGTTAAGGGTGGATGAGCACATTTATGTGTGTGTGTGTGGGGTACATTTATGCTTGCTAGATAAACTGTGCCACAGTGACAGAGAAATCTCTTCAGAGAAGGATCTTTTGGGAGATCTTTCTAAATACTGAAAGGAAAGGACATTGGCATAGGCAGAATTGTGTTCGAGGAGAGAAAGAGAAAAATAGGGGAAATGAAGGAAGTCACTGTGAAGCAGCTTGTAGTATAGCTGTGCGTACATGCACTTGTGGTTACATGTTTTTGAAAGAGTAAGCAAGGTCACTAAGACTCATGAAGGTCTGTGTGTCCCTGCTGGCTCTGAAGTGACACGTACAAGGGTTTCAGGCTAAAGAGGCAGGAGCAGTAAAGTACACAGAGTTGGGCGTGTTAATGATGGGGAGGATGGTTAAATTACCGTCAGAGCCAATCAGTAGAGTGGCCCCTGTGGTATCTCTGTATCATAGGGGAATGCACGGTATTGCACAGATGCTTTCAGGAAAGCCAGAGGAGGAGAGAGGAACAAGCAGAGGAACAGCCATTCTTTTATTTTTCCCTGTGCTGGGAATGGAACCCAGGGCCTTGGCATGGTACGCAGTTGCTCTACAACTGAGCTGCACCTCTAGCCCATCTTCTTGATACATAATTGTATTTATGGACTACAGTGTAATCATTCGACACATGTACACAATTTTGGGACAGGCCCTGTTGAGGGGCTTCTCTATGGGTTGCGAAGAAAGTTGGTCCACAGTAAGTGCTTCACACAATGCGCAGAACATTATGACAGGGTTATTTGAATACCAGGGGAATGCAGGAAGCCAGAAACAGAATCTGAGGAACTCAGTAGTGAAGGTTGTTCTTAAAAACAATGGATGCATTCGTATAGGGATGAGGAGAAGGAATATATTATAATACTGTGTGGGGAGTTTTAAAGTGATAAGACAGGGAGATAGAGTGCCTGTCATGGTCCATCCCAAGGTGGAGTGGAGAGAGAGAGAGTGTGTGTGTGTGTATGTGTTGAGGAAAGGTGATGGGAGGTTAGGGTGTTAATTTTTTCCCTCTCCTCCCTTGCCATTGCTCCTTCTGTGTGTGTGTGCACATATGTGGGGAGATAGGGACAAGAAGATGTCTTGTTTGTATGCCTGTGAATGAGCGGTGTGGAAGTCAGGAAGTGAAACAGAGAACATTCATTGAATACAGGGATTAGTGTCTGTATTTCCAAGTGTAGCCCAGGAGGCTGTAGAGGGTGGAATATGTAAATAGGCCCTTCCTTAAGGAAACGATGTTCTTGTGTGTGTGCATCTGGGGGCATGAAAACCTTGCAATGAGGAGGCAGAACGGGTTACTTCTGTGATAGTTCCCATTCTGAGATATGGTTGTGCTTTCAAATACATCAGAGAGTTGTGTATATAAATGTATGGGGAATCTAAGTCATTTGTATATTCTGAGGTTTTGGTGGGTTTGGAGAGGGGATGCTTTAGGAATTCTGGGACTTCCAGGAGGGAATACGGGATGGAGGTTCAGGCAGTGGTATACTCAGATCTAAAGATGTCATTGTCTATGTGGAGGCATGCCTGGGAAAATGCGGGGAGAAGGTTGGAGGGGAACAAAAACTATTTGTACCTGTATGCTTGTGTGTGTATAAACACACAGGAAAAAAAGCCACAAAAAATGCATGGTACACCAGCTGGGCATAGTGGTGTGTGCCTGTAATGTCAGCACTCGGGAGGCTGAGGCAGGAGAATTGTTGCAAGTTCCCAACTGGCCTGGGCTACAAAGTGAGCTCAAGGCCACCCTGAACTGCATAGAGAGACCCTGTCTCAAAAAGACAGAAAAAAAAATGCATGGTGGAATGCTGTGGTGGAGAGATGCTCTTGAGAAGTGAGTAGAGTGAAGTTGAGGGTACACAGAGACCATATTGAATAGGCTAATGGGCCGGGTGGATGGACAGGGTTGGCGGGCTTCTGCACTGATTAGAGAACCAGCTCATCAGACTACTCTTTCCACCTTTCTTTGCTCTACAGAAGACGTGCGGTGGAACACATTCCCCTTAGGCCGCATGCCAGGTCAGACAGAGGACCCAGCAGAGCTTATGCTGGAGAATTACGACACCATGTATCTTTTGGATCAGCCTGTGCTAGAGCAGCGGCTGGAACCCCCATCATGCAAGAGTAGGTGAGTGCTCGTGGCAACAGGATTTTCACCACCTTGTCTACCGCTTGTGGGAGGAAGGGAAGGAGATGAAGGGGGTGGGTAAGTTCATGACTGAGGAGACAGTGGCTGGATGGGTCCTTATATGACTGCTTGCCCTTAGTCGGAACCAGTGAAGTAGCTACGTGGGGCTGCCTTGGCACCCCTTGCAGTTTGAGTTCAGTTTGCGTGTGTAGTTGAGTGTGCGTATGTGTGTGTGTGCACACATGCATTTTGGGAGGAAAGGGGTCCAGAGCTTTCAATGAATTTTCTAAATTGTCCACCATTGTTAAAAGGTCAAGAACAGATGCTCTATCGGAGCTTCCTTCTATTCCTGATGAGAAAACAGGCCCAGAAAGGGAAAGGAATTCGTCCAAAGGTACACAGAATCATCAGTAGGCCTTCTGCACTGTCCCACGATCTTGATAGCAAGGCCTGCATAGGGCTCTATGGTTTCCCTCAAAACTTACTTTTGGGTCTCAAGCGTGCAAGCCGTTGGGTCATCAGGGAGCCAGGAACCAGCAGCTCTTGAGGAGGGGCTGTGCTAATAACTCCAAGGGGCCCGACCACAGACCTGTACATTCCAGAATACTGGGCTATTGTGACCCGGAGAATCTAATGAGTACCAGAGAGAGACCCCTGCAGGCCCCTGAAATTGAGAGTCCATTTCTGTGCTGTTTGCCAGTTCCCTAGCAGACAGGTCGCTTTTTATCTGATTCTGGGAGAAAGTGGTAGAACCCAAGGGCTGTATACCCAGGCCAGGCCTAAGGCAATGCTATGGACTCTGTCTGAGGCTAGGGAGCATCGGAAAGTGGCCAGTTGGCAGTGAGATTCACACGTCTAAAAAACTCCCCCTCTCAGTCCCTAGTAGCCAGGTCTTGTGTAAAGCTGGCTGGATGAGTACCAGTTTATTAAGGATGAAGTGTGGGCTGCTAGAGCTGTTATATCAAGAGAGAAGTTCATTTGACTCAGGCCCTAGAGCACCTACAGTAAAGAGGCTTCCTCTGGTGGAGTGGAGCATGCTCACTCCTTGTCTCAGCTCCACCCCTGACTTGGCTATGTAGCCTTGGGAAGGTCCTTTCTTGTATCTAGTCCTCAGTTTCTTTGTCTGTAAAATGGTGGGTGATGGGAGGGGATGGGACTAGATCATCTCAAAGGGTTTTTTCAGCTGCAGGAGTGTAACCATGGATCTGCCGGAGGGGAGTGATGATAGCTTTGCGCTCAGCTGTTACCTCATCCAGCTGGAAGAACCTTTGATCTGCAGGAAGCAAGAGTATTCTGATCTGGGCCAGAGAGAAAAGAGGGCAGTTTTCTCCCTTAAGCAGTGTTAAATGTTGTGGGATGGGAGTTGGGCCTATCCCTATAGAGCAAATCTGGGCCCCTTAACTATGTAGTAGATGTGGGAGGGATCCAGTCCAGAGTCTCCTGGGCCTCCAAGCTCTAGAGCCTTGGAAAGAAGCCCTGGGAAGGCAGCCATTTTCATTGTCTTCCCGTGGGTGGGATCCCTCTTTTGCCTCAGCCCAAACGGTTCTGCATGGACTTTTATGTACTGGAGCTCTGTGTAATGCTTCATTGAACAGTTCCGTATTTCCTTTCTTCACCACCTAGGGGAGGGTGGGACCCTACCTGAAGTCGCTTCTTAGATTTGTTGCAATCTCCCCTTTATAACGCTAGGCAGGAGAGAGTAAGCCCTTCCCACAGACACACACGTCTCAAGCACTTTTAGCTAGTCCAGAGCCTAAAGCTGCATCCTTCCCTGACTGACCTCCCACTCTCTCCGCAGCACCCTGGGCCTAAATTGTGGTGTCGGCAGTGGTAATTGCAGCAACAGCAGCAGCAACTTGGAGGGCCTTCTCTGGAGCCAGGGGCAGCTGCTTGGGCTCAAAACTGGCCTGCAGCTGTTCTGATGCCTGCCTTAATGGAAGTGTTCATCCAGCCCTGCCAGAGCAACAGCCTAGCCCAATGTGCACCTGATCTTCCATGATACAGTCTGGGAGACAGCCCAGATCAGCCACATCTACTCAGCTTTCCACCACTAGAATGTGGAATGACCTTCTCCTTTTGTTTTGAAAAACAATAAACAAGCAACTGTAGTTTTGATTTGTGAGATGAGGGTATATACGGCAGGGCACACTAGTGTAGTTCTTCCTTCAGAGGCTCCAGAGAAGTTTGAATGATAACAAGCAGGAGTTGAGTACCGAGGCCCCTTGGGCCCACTGGCTCTGATTGCTCCCGTAACCAGATTCTACCTGTCCCCGTTACCTGGCTCCTCAGACCATTTCCACGCCTCTCACCTGTAGTTTGGAGCCAGTTCACTTGGAAGCATGAAGCCCCAGAGGAGAGGCATTGCTTGTCATACTCTAGCTCGGAACTGTAGTGTGTTTATTGGGGGTGAGCTGCTCAGAGCCTTCCTGACAGTGGGAAGAAAACTCAAGTCTTCCTGTTTATGTCCCCACCTGCCCTCAGTGGGTACCAAGCAGTAGTTGAAAGCCAGAGATATACCTTTCTTTGTCACCTCTCTTTTGCCTTAGAAGAAGAAGAGTAGACTTTCCCTGCAGCAGACATTAGAGCCAGAAAACTGTCCTAGGGGCTCACACAGAGCCACTTGTTTGTTGTCACTTAGTCCCTGCAGGCCCTCTCTGAACCTCCTAGTGCCTACCCCATGGCATCCCTGAGCTACCAAGAGATGGGGGCTAAATAAGCCATGTTTTCACCCTCAGTGCTGTCAGCCTGGTGAGGAAGGACACGTTTACTGGGTAATAACCTGTTACCTCTGCTAAGTGCCTGACAGAATTTTTCTAGGTGGTTGTGCAAAGAAATCATGGATAAGACTTGTTAAAAGACACCAAGGGAGAATTTGGTGGAAGTGCTGTGCCATAGCCCAATCAAGGGTTTTTTGCTTTAGGGTGCTGGGGATTGAACACAGGGCTTTGTGTGTACTAGGGAAGTGCTCTATTACTGAGCTCCTCCCCTGGCCCTCTAATCAAGCGTGTTAGCTTGAGTTAGGACCCTAGGGATATACTAAATACCTTGGCAGTTATGTGTATATTATCATTTCTCTAGGGAGCTGGTCCATAGCTTTTGTTATTGTCAAAGGGTTCCATGATTTCACCAGCTCAAAAAGGTTAAGATTTCTCATATGGACACAAACATTAGGCACGGTCAGAACAGTTTTGTGTACTGGTTAACACAAAGTCTCTCTGACTCTTCCCTCTCCCCTCACAATGTCAAAGACTAAAATTTTCCCAGGTACTGGAGTATCAGCTGGCAGAGTCCTCAAAGGATGTAGGCCCTCTACTGAAGGTACTTGAAAATGTGTGCTTTGGTTAGGTATTCCAGCACCTGGGGAGGTGGGTACCACAAGTTCTCAGCTCCTCTCCACCACTTCACCAGAGCAGCCCTGACTATTGTGTATGTGTTCGGATCCCACTTGTGATTTCTTTGGAAAGATGGAGTTTACTGTAAAAGAAGGTTTGGAGAATAAGTTTTTGTCTTGCCCTCTTGTTTAAAATGCATTAAGACCAAGAAGCAGACAAAAAGGGAAGGAATTTGCAAATAGCCACAGCAATTCTTAGATTGTTGTAGGTCTGTTTTCTTGCAGTTTCAGCATTATTTGTGTTCTTGTTAGGAATGTAAATTTTTGAACCCCATCAGACTTTCTGAATCAAAGGTTGAAGAGGGACGGCAATCTGCTTTATTAGACCCTTGTTGATTTTGATGCACACCAAAGTTCACAATGCAGTGGTAGAAGTTGCCCAAAGACCTGGGTTCCAAGCAAGCTCCACCTCATAGTAGGAACAAGCTTGAGCAAATCATGCTATATTTTTTCATCTGTAGAAGAATAATGTTTGTCTTACAGACTTGCTACAAAGATCAAAACAGACAATAGATTTGAAAGTGCTATCTAAAGCATGGCATATTTTATATTTGTGTGTGGTGAGGATTCCTGCCAGTGTTGAGTTTTGAACTCAAGACTCAGGTTCCTATATCAGCCAGGATGTTGCTTTTTCCTGGGCCTCAAAGACTTACCTACGAAGAAGAAGCATACTGCTTGAGCCCATTTCTAGCGCAGAACTGGAAAAGTAAAAGCCAAGGGTCATTACTGGCTGGATTCCTGAAACGTAAGAACTGTGAGGCCAGGTCCAAGCGTTTCAGATAGTAGGAGCAGAAGTGGATATGCTATTACCAGGAAGTAACTTTACTGCTCTTGGACCTTTTCCTTCTTAGAGGTCAAGAACTGATTAGAAGAATTTGAACTGCATCCAGTTAAGTGGGAGGCAATGAGGAGGGGTCGACAGAAGGGAACATAAGTTATGGAGACCCTCTGACAGGACAGAGTTCATCGGAAATGAACTCTTGTGGTGCTACAGACTGCCCAAAAAATTACAATAGAATGGTTAAGTGCTAAATAAGAAAGGTACTGTTCAAGAATCCTGCAAGGTCCACTGTGGGAAGAGACTAACAGTGTCTGGACTAATAGTAGTTGGTACTGCTTCCTAGGGAAGGTGACATTAGGACTGAGTCTTGAAAAGCAAGACTTTACTAGTCAGAGCAAAGAGTGAAAGGAAGGCCAAAGTCTGAAGAACATGCTTGGGGGCACCAGAGCAATTTCCAGGATGATTGGAATATGGTGATGCAGCTGGGTAAATCATAAAGTCAGAGGGGTGAGCTGGAGGAGTGCTATGGCCAGACCAGCTGAATTTTCATCAGTGATTAGGGAAGAAGCATTAAACATTCAGTTGTTCCCTCTTAGAGTTCTAATTGTTCTTACCATTATCCCTATGCCCATGTTACCATGGTCTTTGTGGGTTTTTTTTTCTATGTGCTTCATTCCACCACTAGAGGGCAATTTCCCCCAAATAGGATCTGTTTTAGCCCAGTATGGACCAGGCACTGATTTGGTACTCAGAACTTGGTACAGATATGCCTGAGGAATGTGAGACGAGGGAGCAACAGGAAAGACAGAAAAAGAAAAGGGTGGGAAGAAATGAGCACTGTTAGTCCTATGGAGGATGACTTTTAAAAAACAGCCTCAAGTTCACAAATGGCCTCTTCCAAAGGCTCTTAGGGCTGGGCTTCTCTGCAGCCACTGTGGCCACCTCTGTCTTTAGAGTGAGACTGGCCTGCAGTGGGGTGGGGAGTGAGTAGGAGGCTCCAGAGAGGGCTGAGACAAGAGTGGACAACATGATGCTAAGTAAAGGGCGTATTGGGCTGGGAGTCGCAAGGCCTGGCCTTCCAGTATTTCTTTTCCTGCTAATTTCACTGGGCCTCGGTCACATCCCCTTCAGCACTCCTACCGGAGCCTCATTTCATGCAAAATAACCGGAGAAGCGGGTATGCAGCATAGGGTGTTACGCTTCTTCTGGCTCTGATATTCTGTCTCAGGTTCCACAGATGATGTCTTTGTGGCCTTGAGGCTCTGGGGAGAAACTACAGGCTGCGTACACAGATAAGTCTGGGCCGACCCTGCCACGTCATTCTGACCCACCAAGGGAAGCCAGCCCTGCCTTGTAGAAAAAACTAGTTGGATCCACTTAGTATACTATTAGTCTAGGAGTTATCTTAGTCTTCAAAACTTAGAGGACGTAGACTTACTGTGGTGAAATTCAGATGGACTCACTTGGGGTGGGGATCGCTGCCTTTATAGCTTGTCTCAAGGTGCAAAGTATATATATGTTTATGTGTGGTATGGTTATTGTTGTTAATATTCTTAAAGAAAGAGCCGTCAGTACTTAGTAAACAAATAGTTTATGCAATAAGTGTGGTTACAATTCATTGTTTCAACGATACAACATTTTCCATTATGATTATAGGTGAGACAAAACCTTATTAAATAATCATAGCACATTCATTTTAGTGAGAACATATTACAGAGCATTGCACATGCATTTTGGGGGCAGGTGAAGCTCGGGAAAAGATATATTTTTCACTCACCTCTGGTTGGCTTTGTGTATTTTGTCATTGAGACTTACATTATGTTTGGGTCAAACAAGAAACCCAAAGAGGTTTTGTAAAAGTTTACAACCATTAAACAGTATTGTTTAATCCCACAAATGGATAAGCAAACTACTATAGCTCAATGATACACAAACCAGGACTAAAAATAGTCAATCTGCCTATGTATATAGCTAGCTATAATACAGTAGATATTGAATATGCTGAATCTTTGCAAAGGCATTGACTACTTTAGACAAGCAGATACCAGAAATACACTGGTTTGGTTTCCAATGAAAACTAACTGTAGTGCTATTTCAGTTGAAGACTGTACTCCCCAGTATGAGACCTGAGGAGAAACAAACTAGGGGAGGGTAGAGGAAGGTTAGGAGACCTGAGCAGGGCTCTTTGGACAGTTCAGCATTACTTTTCTGTGCAAATCCAGACCTGGTTCACAGAGTAAAACAAAATGTATTGAAATTGTAGGCCCTCAAAAAGGGCATTTGTACAAAGTCCCTTACAGCATAAATAGTGCCTCTCAAAATGAACTCTTCCATGTTAGAAGAAAACTCAGTGAGAAAGGTTCATGGATTCCAACATTAAATTACTGTATAAAGATAATTTACTCCAAAATAGAAAAATGAATTTAAGAGAAGTATTCTAGAAACTGGCAGGGGACGGGGAGAAGGGGGAAACAGAGAGGAAAAAATCATGCTAGGTGTCTCCTTATTTAGAAGAGGAAAAGTTTCATAGACCATTTCTGTAAGGCATCTGTCATACCTGCCATTCTCTGGTCTATACCTGGCACTGTAAGCGTGCAGTAGTTTGATGTTACCTTTGAAAAGCCTTTCCTGTTCTGTGAACTGTTTTATAGAAAGGGGTCCCTGGATTGACTGTGCCATACGAGGGCCCCATTTCTCCTTTATGTCAAAGTGAAAACAACAGCAAAGTCACACACGCACACAAAATCACAAAACTGTAAAATCTAAGACCTTAATAGGCAAGGGCTTACTATGAGGTCAGAAAATCAGTGGAAGAATTAAAATTACAAAGCACCTCTTACAAAATGTACTGCTTCTTGAAACCACACAAAACACTGCAGTAACTATGCTGAGTGCTTAGAGGCAAATATCCTGAAGGACACATGCTAAGCTCCATGAAGGAAGCTTGATTTTATTATCAAGGGAGCCAGGGAAATCCCAGTGCTCTTTGTTATTTGCTATTTTATAATTACAGGCAAAATGCAAAAGAAGTATGCAGACCTCAATATAAAGAATATGTTTGTCTAATAACTAAGAAACAAGCTGGATTTAGGCATTCATAGTTGTATAGCTGCATTATAGATTCTTGCAGATGATTCGTTAACATTCACGTTTTTGAAGCACAAAACCTCTGTTATAAGGACATATTAAATCTGATAGGCTAGCAAGGACATACGCAATACTTGAAATTGTACACACAATACCTGTATAGTAAAGAGGCCTTGAAAAATTATCTTTGCTTATAAACCACCACTACCCTTTGGAAATAAAAGCTCCCTCATAATCCCCGGGCTACTTACTTCCCTGTGACCTTGTGACACACAGTGCCACAAACATCATGGAGAAAATTCAGTACCAAACCTAGTTTAAGGTGAGTTTTGTACATTTATTTCTATACAACCAGGAAAAAAAGATACAATTTGTATCAACAAAAGGTCATTTCTGGTTATTCGAGGCATTGCTCCTAGCTACTTTGGTTTGTACACATTTTATGAGAAAAGAATGATTATTTGTTTTAGAAAATAAAAGACACATACAGTGCGCTAAGAGTATTTCCTGTACCGGAAAGAGCTCGCACTTACTTTGAGCACTAAATATGATTATATTCAAGATGAATTGCAGACAAGATTAATCTTGTGCTTTCCTGTAAATTGTGCAATGGGTGGACACTGCAGTGTCACTCATTGATGAATTTGGTAGTAAGAGTAGGTTGTCAAAAACTATTGCCTAGACGTGAGACATTTTGGAAGCTCTTAAGACATTGAAGGTATGAAGAAGTGTTTGTGTGAAATAGCAAGAACTGCGGTGGCAAATATCATTCTCTGTGGACCTACCTGATTAAAAAAATACTTTTACACTTTCTCAGTATGCTGGGGAATGGGATGATTAGAGGTTAGGAGATGAATGCGAAGCTGTGGGTACGTGAAGAGAAACACTAGTTAAGATGCAGTATTGATCAGCTTGGACAGAGAGAAAGCCAGAAAGCAGCATGCAAGCCGTTATCAAACCCCAGAAATAACCTTGACTGCAGCCTCACATTCAGAGTGTTTCACAGTAAGAAACATTTATAGGCAGTGTCACACCTTCTCATGAAGAAACAAAAGGCCAGGCCAGGCCCTCTCAACTTTCATGAAAAAAAAAACGACCATTGAAGTTATCAAGTGCCAGCTCAAGAAATAGTGAGCTGGGCATGGTTCAAAATGTTGAAATATACAATGGGTTCAAAAAGGGGGTGCGTTCAGTGCAGCGTAACAAATCAATAAACACCTCTTCTAGAGGCATTTAGCTACACAGGTTCCCACCCTGAGCAAGATACAAATTGCGCAAATAGTGCCACTCAACCCAGAAGTCATGCCTTCTTGAGTAATGCATCTAAGAATTATCTAACAGCAACTGCACTCTCCTTTGAATGGATTTGAAGTGCATAACTGAGCCAGCTGTTAGCAAAGATGCAGCATTCCCTTTTGGAATCTACCTTTCTTCTACCTGAAAAATCCCCTGGTTTTGTTTCCTAAAGAAATTCTGTTTCAGCAGTGATTGACCTTATTGCCCAAAGGGTGGACGGCAGGAGAAAGCAGATGACATGGCTATACACTGTCCTCCATTATATTTTATCCTGTGATGTTTAATACTGCATAGGTCAGAAGTCCAAAAGGCATCCATTAGTCCCTCCTTGCATGAAGCTTTTGTGTTTTCATTTACTTTCATGTAGGTTTGGCCATCTTTCCTGGGATAAGGGGAGTGGACTTGGTAGTCCTTTGGTTCTGGTCAGACTCTTCTGCACTTTTGTAGCGCATACTATGTGTGGATTTTAAACTTACTCAGCAGCTCCTCTGCAGAAGGCTTCAACCTGACCCCTAATTTGCTGAGGTGAAGAAACTTAGAAGCTAAGAACTGGTAATAAATGCTGGCAAGTAAAAAGGAAGAAAAGGAAATAAAGCTGGTTTGCTCTGGTGCCTAAGAAAGCAATGTTCAAATATTAGCACATAAATTCACATTGAGATTGAGTTGAAAGTATGAAATATGACAAAAATCAATAAGATTCATGATCTATACACCTGTAGACTAGGACTGTGTAGAGCTGACCTTCTCAAAATCACTATATAAAAGTTATATCAGATATACACACGTATCAAACCAAATATGTACACTCATACATGCAATATAATTGCTAATGATAGGGTTTAAATACAGTTCTAGAAGCTTCAATGTTACCCTATGGCTTGATTAATAAAGATAATGAATGATCAGATACCCATGCAATACAGTATGTATTTAATTTTTTTGTTTGTTTTTCTTTTTTCTTTTTTTTTTTTAGTACCGGTAATTGAACTCAGGGCCTTGCGCTTGCTAGGCAGGCACTGTGCCACTGAGCTATATCCCCGACCCTTACTTTTAAATAGTTTTAAATATTTTTATTAAAACCCTAAAATGTTAATTCACCACATGATCTGATCCTGATGCTTTTTCTCTCTAAATTGGTTATATCATCCATACTCTGTAACACAGAACATGTGATTAAGAAAGTGCTGGTAATGGAATCCCTTGGGATTTCTTGCACTTAGGCTCCTTTCCCTGGGTTTTGTCTTCCATTACCTGCAGTGGTGCAGTGCAAAAGGGCAAGAGACTTGGAGTCAGAGGATTTGGGTATGCGTCTTGACTTGGTCATTTGCTAGCAGCATAACCATGGCAAGTCACTTACATCTCATTGAGCTTCGGCTTCCTTCTCTGTGAAATAGGATGTTAATAAGACCTATTTCACTGGGTTGTTGTGAGCTTAAATGATGTAAACATTCAATAACTTTTAAAGCGCAATGTAAATCATTAGTTACTATAATCATAGTATTAGTGTATTGTTAGTATTAATATTTATATGTGCATAAAGGACTAAGTCCTATGTCATGTCAACGTGCAGCTCTAAGCTTCGCAACAATTAAAGCTGCCAGTTGCTGGGCATCTGATGTGTGAGGGTTCTTCTCCATCACTGCAAGAACAATGTTAGAAGGGAAAATATTGCAAAGGTTCTTGTAGGTCTGATATTGGTGCTCTGGAATCATATTCTCCCTGGAATCATTGCACATTCCAACCCAAGGATTCCTCCAAAGCTGCTCCATCTTTTCAGGCATGCTCCGTACCATGACTGGCTCATAACATGGCTGCATGAGGCTGTTACTTAAGGAGCAGGAGTGATAGCCATAGGAATCGGTTGCACTGGGCAGTGGGTCCCAGCTGGCATGCTGTTCCCGGCACAGAGGAGGTCGTCTTTGCCTCAAGGGGTTGCTCTCATAGAGTCGGGAATCAGAAATGCTATCCATCCGAGTCATTACTAGGGCACGGCCTGACTGGGAGGTTGCCCCAGGATGAATATTGGGAGGCATGGCGTAGTCTCCAGGACAGCTGGGGCGTGCTCCAGTTGCCGAGTGCTGGACATGCAAAGCTAAGTGGGGAACCGACTGCTTGTGGGGGCCTTGCTTGGAATCCTCTGGGCCATAACTCTGCACTCTAGTTAAGGCTTCATGGTAACCATGAGAAAAAGGCTGAAGACGGTTCTGAGATGCTGAGCGGTGTAGCTTCAAACTGCCTTCAGGATGGGCATCAGCTACAGCCAAGTACAGGTTGTTGTAAGAGGAATAGTTGTCGTTCCTGGTATGGCTCACGAGACCGTCAGGACAGAAGTTGGGATTCCGACCATACATGCCTCGATCTGCTTCGGCCGTGTAGTACTCTCTATTGTGCATGCTGTTGATGTTCAGTTTGGAGAAGTCGCCTAACACCGAATAGTAGCTATGGTCCCCCATAGACTCAAACTTTGGGTATTGCTCAGTATAGTTAATTGGGGTCCCATGGCTGTTGGTAACCAGGATAGGTGGGTACTGCATGCTGGCCATGTGCTCCAGTGAGGCCTTCTGATGGGGGAAATGGGAGGATCCTGGCACTGGGCTGCTGGCCGAACGGGTGTTGAGTGCACCCACTGCATGGCTTTTGAGGGGTGGGATTGTGGGGACACTGAGGGCAGTCACAAGTGATGGGACCGAGCTGGCCTCGGGCTTACGAGCAATGGGCAGCCATTCCTCAGGCTCCACAGCCACAGACCGGATGCTGGGATCTGACTGGCGCTTGGGTGCCACACGTTTCACCTCTGAGGTTATCTCACCTTTGACACTAGACATCCCTGTCCCACACTTGGCCAGGGGGCCTTCGCTCATGGTTTTCACTGTGGACAGTTTGGCACTGATGCGGAGCTCATCAGCCACCGAACGCTGGGGTTGGTTGGCCCGCTCCGGATGGTAGTATTTGCACTTGTGGCCGTAGGTGCATTTTTTGCCTGAAAAATAATGCCTTGGGGTAAGACTCTCTCTCATAGTGGTATAAGGCTCCGTGTCAGAGATGTTGTAACAATCTGGTCACAGAGGTTAGGGTTTCACTGTTTGATGATGAGATAGGAAGTTAACTGCCCACAAAGATGAGAGACAGACGACACCAAGGAGGCACCACACACTGTGAGGGGAGAGGGAGGAAGTAGAAAGCTGGGGAGGAAACTGCAGTGTCAACACTGAGAACTGAGCAGTGGAACAGGCCTAAGTTTTCTGGTAATGCACAGACCTCAGTGCACACCATCACTGAGGCAGCCTAGAATAACAGGGCAGCATGGTGCAGTGCGAGGCTAAGCGGGGGGCACAGCCTTGGAGACCAGTCGGGCCTGAGTGTCAGTTCCATTGTATCCCTTATTGGCTGTGTGACGTGGTGACTCTATTTTCTGAGCCTCATTTTCTCTTCTCTAAAAAAACCTTTGTAATCATGTGTCTATTTTAGGGTCACTGGAAAGATGAAATGAGATAACGAACATGAAAGTACTCTGCGATTTAAACATTAATAGAGGACAAAAAGCAAAATGGCCCCTCCTCAGATAAAACCACAAATGATTATCCATGACAGTCTCAAACTGAATAGCCCATGTTGCCCAGTTAGTCCCACAAACTTGGCACTTGGGTGAGAGCACTACTTCAGTGCAGAAAACTATTTTTTAAAAAAGGGAATGAGGCTTAGAGGCAACTGGAAAGTACATGAGAAGAAAAGGGTATGACTAGTTGACTAAAGGAATAGTCGCCTGCCTGACAGACGTGCTCTTCTGGGAGCCAAGCCCAGTCTGTCACTCCCTTTCTGTTTCCACAGGTGACACAAGTTTCTGCATTTCCCTGTTCCAAGCAACATTGCTTAGGACTTAGGCGGTTAGAGCCTGTGTTATTTCAGGAAGTGACAGCTGTTCTTCCCTTCAATTTCACTTACCTTTTTCTCATGCCGTCTCTAAGATTTTTCTTTAAATACCCTAGCTGAGAGTACACACAGATACAAACTTTACCTCGTAGAAAGAAAACAGACTAGGATTTCCCATTTGAAAGCAAAATCTGGAAAGGAAAAGTATTAAGGTCCTTATGTTTCCCTTAGTAGAGAACTCAGTTCTGCATGTAGGTACTCACCATAAGGACATGGCTGCTTCTTATGCTCCGGAACAATGGGTCTTTTTCTTAAGAAATTTTCAAGGCTTGGGCCATGGCGTCCTAAAGGGTCATCTGGAGGCATAAATCTGAAAGTAAGCAAGCAAGGGTGAATGTCTTCCCGTATGTCCCTTTTCCAGAAGTTCAGACCTCCATTGCCTCTTGTATGTGCTGTTGTAACAGACTTCTAATTACCCTTCCTGCCTCAAATCTATCTTCTGTGAATCCATCAGGTCTTCCCTGTGCTCCCACCTGATCATGTAGAAATGTTGATTTCCCCCCCGACCCCGGTGTATCACTCTTTTAGAAATTTTATGTTACAGCCATACTGGCATTCCAGCTTGGTTTCCTCAATGTGCCACCCCCTTCATAGCTTTCTTCACAGTGTCCCCTTCACCTGTCATGCCCAGAAGCCTTCTTTGCTCTATAAACTTCATTGCAAATGTCATTACCTATGGGAGGATTTTCTTAACACTTCACATAGACAAAGCAATTTAGAAATACGTTAACTGTAGTGCGCATTCAACATGTTGTGGTTGTCTCTTTCTCTTTTCCACTACACTTTGAGCCCCTTGAGAGTGAGTTTCTGTTTTTTGTTTGTTTGTTTGTTTTTGAAACAAGGTCTTGCTATGTAGTTCAGGCTGCCCTTAAACTCACTGTGTATAGCAGGCTGGCCTCAAACTCACAGCAATTGTCTTGCCTCAGCCTCCTGAGTGCTGGGATTACAGGCATGTGTCATCATGCCCAGGGAGACTTTTTTTTTGTTTTTTTTGTTTTTTTGTTTTTGCCCAGGGAGACTGAATTTCTTGTTCAATTTTTATTTGCATGACAACCAGCGTAATGCATGCTCCAGACTAAGAGTTCAGTGAATGCTTATCAATATGAAATGAAATCTTTTCCTACTAATAACTTGGATATAGGCGATTCAGAGCCTACTGGAAAGAAACGCACTTGTCATTCACAAAAGAATACATCAGCAACCGCTCCTCGATAAACTTCTTCCATTCTGGCTTTTCGACTTGAAGATCTCGGTAGTTGTCATTGGACACAATGATGCCATCAGAATCAAAAGCTAATTTGACTATGAACCGGTCATCATAGCAAACAACCCTTCTGCCCTGGACCCTTCGGGATGGTGTGAAGACAAGAATCTTTTCCTTTTCCAGTTTACGAAGAATATCTTGATCTGTCAAAACATGATTGTATGGCACAGAATAGAAGTCATCAATTAATAGCATTATCGTCATACTACAAACACAAAAGTTAGTACTAGATAAGTTTGTCATTTGTCCTTAAAGAGCACGTGGGCTGTACTCCCAGCTATAGTATCACATTGGTTTGTGACATTAGGCACATAACATCCTTCAGACTTTAGTTTTCTTTTCGATAAAATGAAGGAATTGAATTAAGCCATATCTAGCTTTAAAAAAACAAAACAAAACTACAATGCAAAGTGAAAAATGACACTGATATCCTAGCATTTTGACTTTTGTTTTGCCTTTTGGCTGAAACATTAGCTTTTCTTATTTTTCTTTTGTCTTTGTTTTTTGTTTTGTTTTTGTTTTTCTTCTGGTACCGGGGATCGAACTCACAACCTTTTTTTTTTTTTATTTTTTATTTTTTTTTTTTTTTATTTTTTATTTTTTCAAACTCACAGCCTTGCGCTTGCCAGGCAGGCGCTGTGCCTCTGAGCTAAATCCCCAGACCCTATTTTTCTTTTTTTATTTGCTTTGCTTGCTTGCTTGCTTGCTTCCTTCCTTCCTTCCTGCAGTTTTGGGGAAGTGCTTTACTACTGAGCTACATCCTCAACCCAATCATCAGATTTTTGGCTTTGAAAGAAAACAGGGCAATATTTGTTACTTTTGTCGGAGGAGAGTAAAGCATCACTCTTCAGACTGATACGTTGGGCTTCTGCTTAAAGGAATGCCAAAACTGAATTGGAACATCAAGCTATAACAGTTGAATATTGAATCACTTCCCTTTTGGCCTCCCAGTTGCTTGAGGAGAGAAGGCTTGCTGGCTGAGCTTGAGCAGGGCCAGCATCTACTCTTAGACTGAGGCTTGGGAGCCTGTGTAGCACATGACAAATCCACACACAGCTCAGACAGCCAGGCACTGGGCTTTCTCATTAGGCAGATCGGGCAAGAGTAGATACTCAGACGATTGGGGTCTATGTGCTCTCAAATGCTGTCAAAGAACATACGTTACACGTACTGTTATAAGTGAATACAGGGATTCTTATTACCATTAGGAGGAGTACATCATAATTTTTGCACACCTTAGGCACTTCTGCCTTCTTTAACTCTTTCTCCATAGTGGAATACTAAAAATTTCATTTGAGAAATTACGTGGCTATGAAGCCACATATAATCCAAATTACTATACATTATTGTACATGCATTGTATTCCATTCAGTTTTTCCTTTTGATGTGAGAAGAAAATGAAAACATTTCATGGGACTTTAAAAGTATCATAATCCTTAGGCACTGTACCTACTATGCCACATGGATAAGTTGCTTAGGACTGTCCTGGGACTTTTTCTCTTCCATTCCCTAATTTGAAACACCACAGTCACTTCTGTGGTTCAAAATAATATTCACTTTCTAGAATGGTTTCTTTAGTTTCTTGAAGAACCGAGTGATGTTTATAACTAGATTCATCTCCCTATAGTCTAAAGTCTGCGGTCAAATAAAAAAAAAAAAACTCTTTTTAAACTATGTATCTTTTGATGAATTGAGGTTGTCTCCATTTAGCTATCATATGCTACAAAACAATAATGAAATTCCACTTAATAAAAGACTTCTTATATTTTAGTATATGTGCTGCTGAAGAAAGCACTAAAAGTCATTTTAAGTGTACTTCGCAACTCAGAAAAATAATTACCTAAATTGGGGCTATCACACCCTCTCCAAACTATCTTACTAACTTTGACTCTAAATAACAGAAGATGTGTCATTTCAAATAATACCTGTTGGCCGGGCATGGTGGCGCATGCCTGTAATCCCAGCACTCGGGAGGCTGAGGCAGGAGGATTGTTGCAAGTTTGAGACCAGCCTGAGCTACAAAGTGAGCTCAAAGCTAGCCTGAGCTGCATAGCGAGACCCTGTCTCAAAAAGACAAAAAAAGGAAAGAAAAGAAATAATACCTGTAATGGGAGCATCAGGCCGGGATTGCTCTTTTCTCCATGCAGGCACAAATACAGTGATATCTTTATGACCCTTGTCTAGAAACCAATCCACAGCAAGTTGTATTCCTCTACAGGAGAATTCTTCCTTATTCCCATGGCTTTAGAAAAATAGAGAATAAGAGGCAAGAGGATTAACAATAGATAGCAAAAAATATACCCCCAAACAGGTCTTTTCTTAGTACCAAGGGATTAACAACATTCTCTTCCTTGATGATACCAAAGAATGCATTTTTAAAAGAGCAAATAAAATTCCTTTTATTCAGTTGTTGCAAATATTGCCATTGTAAACTTTATTGAAGGTCACAGGTGACTAATAACAACTCCCATCTTATAGCTGCAATGGTAATTATTTTCTATTATTAGTTTCATTTTCTCTATTATCTTCTATTTCTTCTGCCACATTTTCAAAGATTCAAATGTTCACAACAGATGAAAAAAGAAGAGGTTTTGCCAGAGGTTTAGATAAAGTTTATATGGAGGATTAGGGAGAGATAAATCTTAAACACACACATTAAGCTTCAAAAATAACATTGACAGCAAAAAAGACATACATACCAGTAAATGCTGACACAATAATAGGAAACAGGGATATAGATCTTTTGCAAATGGGAAGGAGAACAAGAGATCTTGAGGGGGGGAGAGGGGAAGGAGAAGTAAAAAAAATTAAAATGTGTTATTTACATGTACCAACTCGCCATGAAAATGTACTCATTATATACTGTAAATATGTAATAATAAAAATGCTGGTGGAAAATATCACATATATCCATTTAATTAAATACAGTAGAACAACAAAATGATATTCTTGAATTTTTAAAATGTGAATATGCTTGTAATTTTAAAAGACAAATGATTTAGGTATGTCTTTATGTAGGTAATTTAGGTATGCATGTGTTTATGTAATTTCAACTTTTTTGTGATTGGGTTGTGCTATGTTGTCTAGGGTGGCCTTGAACTTTTGAACTCAAGAGACTCTTCTGCCTCAGCCTCCCAAGTATCTTGGACTATACACAATTGCCACTATGCCTATCTTGTAATATTAATTTTCTGGACAAAAACTTAAAAACAGACAAAATGTGAGAAATAGATATATCAGAATATTAATAAAAATATTATTCTATGTGAAAGGGTTATATGACTGATTTTCTTCCTCTAATTTTAAATTTTCCACAAAAGATGAAGTATTTCTTTTATGCTCAGAACGTGTAATAAGAGAAGAAATTATATCACAAGTATGTATATGAAAAATACAGTACAAATTTAAAATACCAGACAAAATTCATTTGAATGGAAATTGGAAGAGGAGAAATTAGTGCATAATTTAAGAAAAGATATATAATATTTAGTAGCATCATCTTCAAAACTCAGAAATTATGTGCCAGATTTGTGCCTAGTTAGTTGTGAAAAATAATGTTTTTTACAGGGTAATTGATGCTCTGACATAAACATAAATCACATTAAATTTAAGTTAATTAAACGCTTCGGATGGCAAGTACCAATTGAATTAAAGTCAAGCAGATACTGATTGTCAAAGAAGACTGATCAGAAGAACTGTTTCCTTAGTACATGAATAAAGACAGTATGATAGGTTTTTTTCACTTTACATTTCTTACTGGCACTTTCACTCAACTAACACAGAAATTAACTCCAATTACACATATTGTTCCCTTTGGATGAGTTCATATATAATTTTGGGAGCCTCATCAATACCTGCATTGCAAGATTTCCCATTGTTCTATCATTCTTGAGGCATGCTGCAAAAATATATTAAATAACTTTGTTAATATTTCCAAGTATATGCTAATCATGTTTTAAAAGTCTCCATTGAGTACCATGAAGCAATTATATTACTCTACTCAAAATTGAAACCACTTCAGAAAAAAAAAAGAAAATACATTCAACAGCCAATATGTTCCAAAGTAGCCTTAGAAATAGCTACCAGTAATTGCTTTTAAGAAGCTGAGCAAGAGCAATGAAATTGCAAAAAATCACCAGAACTATCATTTAGAAGGGAAATTTGGAAGAAGAAGATGGAATTTCATTTCATTTGGCTTTGCATGGCTATGAAGTGTGGTCTTGTCCTAAACATAGTCTAAATCCAAAAATAAAAACAGGAATAATAGTTTCTGTTGCATACTCCACTTTTATATTATATACTGCCAAATTCTTTGTTTAAAAATAGTTTCATAATTACAACTGTATATGCTTATAGTATAACATGTCAAAAATACTGAACATATAAAGAAAACTAAAATTCAAATGTTTTACTACTACCTAGAGGCACTGTTAATTTCTATTCTGGTATTGATTTCTTTTTTTTTTTGTTTTTTTTTTTGTCTTTTTGAGACAGGGTCTTGCTCTGCAGTTCAGGCTGGCCTTGAGCTCACTTTGTAGCCCAGGCTGGTCTCGAACTGGTAACGATCCTCCTGCCTCAGCCTCCCGAGTGCTGGGATTACAGGTGTGCGCCACCACGTCCGGCTTAAGTTTTTTTTTTTGCAGTACCGGGGATCGAACTCACGACCTGGCGTTTGCCAGGCAGGTGCTTATGCCACTGAGCTATATCCCCAGCCCTAATTTCTTAATATACTGAGGATTATGTTTTGAAATGTACCATACCTATAGCATCTAAATAAGCATATATTAAAATTGTGCTATTGAAGCATTCCATGAGGTACATGCTCACTGAGAATTAAATGCTTTCTGGGAATCAGAAGGCACTTTTAACATTTATCAAGGTGGCAATGCAGGCCTACAGAAGGGCCTAGGTATGTTAATTTTAGTCACCAATAAGTAAGGAATTAAAAAATTTAAAATATATAAAATATAGTAATGCTTTTGAGATGACTTGGTTTTGCCAGACTTACTTAAAAACACATCATGATGCAGGGTTATTAGCAAAATTCAGCATAACAGATGAGCCTGCCTCTTTCTCTTTCTTTCTCTCTCTCTCTCTTTCTCTCTCTCTCTCTCTCTCTCTCTCT